CACGTCGTGGTGCGCATAAATGATGTGCATTTACCCCGGCTATGACCACATCGTGGTGCATCCTTCACCACGTCGTGGTCTCCACAAAATCCATAATTTAGGTCTTTAATTGTCATAAACTCAAGGGAATTATTTACTTGGAACTGGTGTTACAAGTCGTGACCATGGTTTTGAGAAATAAAAGTCTCCAAAGACCATCATGGAATGAGGATTTGATATTCGTAGTAGCCGAACCATTCGACAAACATCTAGTTTTAAGCGTGAAGGAGTAGATAGGAATCAAAGACAAAGTTCTCGAAAGGTGGGTAGCATGTTATGGTCTCTCCAGGCTCTCCAAGCATTGGGATTCACGATCTGGGATTCAAACCCAAAATCGATGAAAGTGTGAAGAAAACATGAGGATGATAATGATGAAATCGTTGTTCCATTTCCTATACATAAGGCTGATTTTGATTTTTTTTTCAGTTTAAAAACGAAAACTAAATGAATAAAAAATAAATGTAGGACTCCATGTGGGTAATATTGTCTATTAGACAAGTTTCTATCCTAAATCACATGTATACTACTAGTTAAACCAGGAGAAAAAAAATTACATTACTTTTTTTAGTAGGCCATTTACAAGTTTAAAGAGCTACAATGTATAAAAAAATCTTCACTGGGCTAAAGTGACATTAACATTTTATTTTTATTTTAACATAGTATTAGCTTATTACCTTGTTCCATGTCTAAACAAAATAATTTCATTGTAATCGTACTTTTTTTTGTCTGTTCAATTAGGATCAAGACAAATGGTAGTATATTATTCATATATGACATAGTGTACTATCTTATTGTATTTTACTATAATTTTATTGTATTTTTGTTGTCTTACATGAATTATTATTTTTACTGTAAGATGACTACATTCTTTATGTCTGACGAAGAGTATTATCTTAATACAATCTTATTGTATTCTTTCCTACTGACAAAATGTATTATTTTATTGTAATTTATTTTATTATGCATGTCTGACAAATGATATTATCTTATTGTAATTTTATTTGTTGTTTCTGCCTCACAGAGAATATTATATTAGGGTAATCTTATTATATTTATTTTATCTGACATATTATCGTATTGTAAAATTAAAGTAAAAGAATATAAATAATAATAATAATAATATATGTAAACATGGACAAAAAATTAATCTGAAATGTTATAGATATGTATTTTACAATATACAAGATACAACAATGTATATATAGAGGTGAACTCTACTAGGCGCATAGACTAATGAAAAACTCCGATAAGCTAATATATGCATTCTAATACTCTCCTCAACCTTAAGTAGAGGAGCAAATCAAATCGATTTTTTTAGAACATGTTTTTTGAGAATCGGTTAGTTAAAACTAAATCGCCGGTTAGGAATAAGTTTTTATTAAAAAAAACTGAAAATGGTTTTTTAACCGAAAATAAAAAGGTTTAAAGGCAATTTAGCTTCCAAAAAAATCGAAAAAATCAAAACCGGGTTTAAAGAAAACGAAACCGATTTAAAACCCATATGTATGCACCTCTAACCTCGAGTTTTGGAGCATAGGTTTTGATCACACCCAACTTGTTATACACGTAATGTAATGTTTTTGTGAACACATCAGATAGTTGACCTTTTTTGATATGGGAAGTTAAGAAGCTTCACAATCTCTTATGTTAGGAAACCAAATATATCAAATATGAATGTTAAATTAGAAAGAATATTACAAGTTAATGCTAGCCTACTTGGCTAAAAATATGTTTCTAATAAAGAGATCACGAGTTCAATCTCATATATTCGTAACTTGACGTTCTAAAATAAAAAGAATATTCATTTGATATGACTTAATAAAACCGTTTAATTGTTGATGAAATGTTTGAAGTACACCTGCGTATAATTAAAATAAAAAATGAAGTAAAAAATAAAATAAAACCACGGATCATTATTTTTGATTGATTAGAATATGTACAAGAGAATTTTCGGAAATCGAATTATGAGTTGCATTCCACCACTTGAGTCATTACAGTCCCACCACACGCAGTGTGTCACGTGGGATGGGTTTTCTTTAACAATAATATAAAATTTTACCCTAAAATTCAAGTGATTATTACTTAGTGATACTTCTTTCTTTTGTTTATATTTATCTGTAGTAAATCAAATTAAGCAAAAAAAATCTAATAAATAAAATACAAGTAATAAATCAGTTAACTTGAAAATTTCTTAGTGTGTCCAATTTCCAAATACTTAAAATATTTTAAATTACTTTTACTTCAAAATTTATATTTTTAATAATCTGGTTTGTGTAATTGTATTTGATATATTAATTATTATTATTATTAATGATAAAAACATATATCGACATGTAGACTTGGCCCACACCTATTAGTTCGTAACTATTAAAACATTCCTTCTGTCTATTTTACCATAAAAAAAAGCTTACATAACTCATACTAAAATCAAATTAATAACCTTTTACTTTACGAAGAATAAATGATTTGAGCAATTAGGAAATGTTTTATGTGTTCACGTGAAGACTTTTGTTTCTCTTATGCCTTCTCTCTCCTACAATGTATTGCTTAATTTACGGTCATTCGGTCACGGGATAAGGCCCTCGTTGTTGGAAGAAATAATAATTTAAACAACGGTGTACTACTACTAGTAAGTAATTAAGCTTAATACTTTATTTTTATAATGAAACATATGAATAATGATCATGAGCTTGTTCTTTGTTATTTTATACAAGTCTTGCTTTTGTCCTTAAGTTGAACTTTGGATCTCATCTCATGGGTGCACATTTGTATAGTTCGGTTAATGGGCCCAGAACCGGTCCATAGGTTTTCATAATCATAGCCCGGTTTGTTATTTTATACCAAAGTCGTAAACTATAAAATAAATAAAAATGCAACAATTTTTTTTTCATTTATTATTTTGAACACATGATGGTTGTGGTCAAGGAACATGTTTAATGTCTTTACCAATTAACAAATAAAATTTATAGAATAAGGGGTCGTTTGATAGTTACTGACTGGGTTAGAAGTTGACTGGGTTAGAAGTTCTGACTGAGTTAACTTCTGACTGGAACTTGTTATTTGATTTTGTATCTGACTGACTGTGCCAAATGACTATATTACCCTCAAACAATATTTTTATAACATTCTTTTGCCTCCTGTTTTCTTTTACTTCACCTGCTCCACAAACATGATTTTTATTTTGTTAAAAAAGTAATATACATGAATAAATTCAAATATTCAATCCCTGAATGTATAGTGCTTGACTTTTTCTAGTTCATGAGAGGTTTGGCAATCTTAAAACCAAATTATTAAGCTTATTATACACCAAATTATCAAACTTTTAGTAGAAAACAAAGTGCACAACAGCAGCAAAGCAACAATCCTTACGATTTAACCCTTTTGTTTGACCCAGAAAATGTCAAAATTGACATTGAAAGTTAAGGATAATGTCAAAATTGATCCAAACAAAGTATTATGTTCTTTTCCCTAATACAAATACATAAGCTGTCAATACAAAATAGCTTGATATGATTATGTGAATGAGAATTGAATTCAATAACAGGTAAATCTCTTTGATACATTACCTCAAACACACAAATACAAATACATTACCAATAAAGGTTGCTTCTCTTAGGCCAAACAAAATATTATGTTCTTTTCCCTAATGGCTTTCATAAGCTGTCAAATACATTCTCTTGAAGACTAGGCTACGAAATAGTCAAACCTTATAAAGGTTGAATGAAAAATACCAAACAATGTCTTTCTTCTGTCAATTTTGACCAATTTGCTTCTCTTAGGCCTTTCATCAAACGGTTTATGGGCATACATTCACACTGAATTAACACGACATCGACTATCTACAATTCCAAAATCATAGTTATCAGGAGATGAAATAAAGAAAACTGTAACGAATATGTGAATTATAAACTAAACTAAATAATTCTCACCTTCATAATTTAACAATACAATTGATCACTAACAGGAAAAACTTGAAATAGAACTCAATTGAAATATTCCTGGATGAAATCATTCAATGGTGTAAGCAAGAAGGGGAGAAAAGAAAGGATTTTTCCTACCGCTGGAAGGAGGCCGGATCTCAGGCGAAGGGCCGCCAAATGGAGGCGACCCAAGGCGTAGATCGGAGGTGGTAGGAGTCGGCGCACATGTCGTTGTTGGGTCAATAGAGAAGAAGCATTGTTGGAGCCTGGAGGTGTGATGATTGAGGGAGAAGAGAAAGCATCAGTGTAAACTAAACGAGGGGCAATCAAGGAGAAGACCCAGTCAGCTAATTTTTTTTTCAGGACCGGGTAAGTGATGGGTAAGAGATGAGATGACCGAGTAAGTGGTTTATATGTGGTTACCAAACGCCTGACCGGACCGAGTAAGTCAAAATCCTCTGACCGGACCGGGTCAGCACTAAATCAAACAGCCGCTAACTCTTGAGCCAAAATAGATAAAGTTTTAAATAAGTTTTGTTTCAAATTTATGCATATGAACACATGTTTTTGCATGTATTAAATAATTTCCAGAGATAAAAAATTTAAAGTAAGCATTTGATGTGCAGTTATAAGTATTAAACCAAATTATATATATATATATATATATATATATATATATATATATATATATATATATATATATGTGTGTGTGTGTGTGTGTGTGTGTGTCTTGTACAAATGTAGGGGTAGCAACCCATGAGTCATAGCGCGCCACAATAAAAATACACGACACAAATAAAATTAGGATGAAATTAAAGTTCAAATTTTTGTTCATGTCAAGAGTAAAAAACATAAGGGAAAATGACTTATGAAGGTAACTAACTATTTCGATTGTCCACATATAGGTAATGTTCTTTTTTTGTTCTTATTAATGAAACCAACTTGTTATTTATGTTCATATTTAGGTAATATGACCGGCTATTACCTGTTTTTGCCCGTTTTAACCGGTTGCATCAATTTTACTCAGTTAAAGCTAATTACATGGATTCTTACGTGGCCATTACTCCCATTTCTCATTTAATTAGGGTTCGATACGTTCAATTTCACCATAATCACCTCCCGATTTTAGATTCGATTCACCAAATTGAAGATTATAGTTTGGAGTTGAAGTTATGTGTTGAAGTCGACTGTAAGATGGCGTCCCAATCATCTACAGGTAAGTATTTAACTGTAGATGTTCATTACAGTGGAGTATTTGCCCGAAATCCATTGAAATACTTAGACCTCGAAAAGATAACAGTGCGTGATGTCGATTTTGGAGGATTTACGTACAAAGAGTTTCTTTTGTGGCTTAGGAATTTAACCAATGGAAGTTGTGATAATGTGTACTACTGTAGTAGAAAGGAAACCTTGGGTGAGGGTATTATAAGAATCGATAGTGATGCTGATTATTGGGAGTTTGTTGAAGCTAATTATACTCCTGAAGCTGAGTTGGATGTCTACATTGACCACCAAAATGATCCAATCCTTGATTGGGATGAAAATGAGGTGTTATAAGATGGTAATTGGTATGACTTGGATGACAACGAAGAAGAGGATGACAATGAAGAAGAGGATCACAAGGAAGAAGAGGATGGCAGTGATGAAGATGATAACTTGGATGATATTATGGCATATGAGCATGAAGTTGATGAAGAAGTCCATACCTTTAACAAAACTGTTGGTGACGATTTTTTAAACAAACTTTCAGGTAAGCTTAGTGATGATGATCAACCTAATGATGGAAAAGATGATAAGGTTGTATTCCCTGTCCATGATGAGAATCAAGAATGGGATAAGATGGTGCCAATTCTAGGTATGAAGTTTGCAAACCCAATGCAATTGAAGCTATGTCTAACCAATTATGCAGTGAAGAATGGGTATGATTTGTGGTATGAAAAAAGTGATCATAACAGGTTACTGGTGAAGTGTTGTAAAGGTAAGAAGAACAAGAAGAATAAAGGTTGTCCCTTTAGGTTGTGGGCAACCTGGATGAGCAATGAAAGGTCATTCCAGATTAAATCTTTAATTGATAACCACAATTGCTCAAGAGTCTTCAATTTTGGGTCCATTGTTACCTATAAATGGATAGGGAATCATTTCATGAATGAGATACTCCAGAAACCAAAGATGAGTGTGAGGAAATTGAAGGCTAAAGTTAGCAAGACATTTAATTTGATTTCAAGTGTGGGACAGTGCAGAAATGCAAGGAGGTATGCATTTAAGGAGATAGAGGGTACTTTAAAGGAACACTATGCTAAAACTTGGAGCTATGGAGAAGAGCTAAGAAGGACTAACCCTGGATCAACAGTGAAGATGGATGTAGATGCCATGCCTGATGGAGCCACTTACTTCTCAAAGTTCTATGTATGTTTAAAGGGTGTTAAGGATGGATGGATTAAAGGTTGTAGAAGGGTAATTGGACTAGATGGCTGCTTCTTAAAAGGTGTTTGCAGAGGTCAGTTGCTTGCTGCTGTAGGTAGGGATGCAAACAACCATATCTACCCTCTTGCTTGGGCTGTGGTTGCAGTTGAGAGTAAGGAAACATGGAAGTGGTTTGTTGACCTTAACCTTGATGACATTGGAATGGGAAATGGACATGGGTTGACATTAATATCAGACCAACACAAAGTAATGATTTTATATGCTCTCTTTATTTAATACTTAATTTATATGAAGTTTATGTTTTGTTTGTAATGCTGACAGGGATTACTTGAGGCTGTCAAGGAAAGGGTACATGCAGCAGAGCATATACAATGTGCCATACACATATGTGCTAACTTCATGAAAAAATTCAAGGGTCAACAGTTCAGTACACTTTTCTGGTATGCTGCTGCTTCTACTACCCAGGCTAAATTTGAGCAACATATGAATGAAATCAAGAAGATAGAACCACTTGCATATGATCATCTAATGGAGAGGGACCCTAAAACTTGGAGTAAAGCATTCTTTCATACTGATAGGGCATGTGATGCATATGAGAATGGTGTTTCTGAGAGTTTTAACTCAATCATTGGAGCTGCCAGGAAGAGACCTCTAATCACTATGTTAGAGGAAATTAGAATTTATGTGATGGAGAGACTTTGTAGACAAAAAAGTAAGGGAAGTTCTTGGGGAGACTTAAATATATGTTCTGCCATTAGACTGAAATTGTCCAAGATTAAGCAACTTCAAAGGTTAGTGGTTGAATACCTTTTATATATATGTCTGACATTCAATTGTGTATACTTACATTTAAGTGTGTGTGGACAGATTTTGGAGAGTTGTACCATCTGGTTATCAACAATTTGAAGTGAGACTTTTACAAGATGCATATGCTGTAGACCTTGGTAAGAAAACATGTGGATGTAGAGGCTGGCAATTAACTGGTTACCCTTGTGTACATGAATATGCTGTAATTTCAAACCTCAATAGGGATCCAGAGGACTATATATCACCATGGCTGACCACAACAATGTTTTGTGATGCCTACATGTAGGGGTGGTCAAAAATATCCGCATCCGAAAATCCGATCCGAAAAATCCGAAAATCCGATCCGAAAATACCCGAAAAATCGGATATCCGAAAATTCGGATACCCGAAATTTGGATATCCGGTTTTTCGGATTCGGATACGGATATAAAATGTGAAAATTTTGGATATTTCGGATATCCGAAATCCGAAATATATAATATAAAAAATTATTAAAAATAGTTTTAATGCATTGAGTTTTTTCATTTGAAATTCAAAAAGACAAATTATTAACATTTTTACTTGGTACGCAAAGTGAGGATGGTATAAATGTTACCTTTTTTATGTTGATTTTAGTAATTTGAGTTTGATTTCTCAAGATCTTCAGGTATCATGAGGTCACTTGCATTTAACCGGACCAAATGAAGTCTTATTATACCTAACAAATGCACGGAAACGTTCTTGTTCTTAGAGGGTTTATTTTCTTTATTTAAAACTAATGAAATTCGGATATCCGGTTTAATATCCGAATCCGTATCCGAAATTTCGGATACGGATTCGAATATCAAAAATCAACTATCCGAATTTTCGGATATCCGAAATTCAGATATCTGAATTTTCGGATATCCGGTTTTGAACACCCCTACCTACATGTACACCATTAAGCCACTAAATGGTAGTGATATGTGGCCTGATGTGGATTACATCAAGCCATTGCCTCCCAAAAAGAGAAGGATGCCAGGAAGACCATCAACAAAAAGGAAAAGGGATCAGATTGAGAGTGAACTAAAGGGCAATAAGCATACAGTCTCAAAAAGGGGAATTGTTATGAGATGCAGCATATGCAGAGAATCAGGGCATAATAAAGCAAAATGTCCTCAAAAACCAATTGGGGAATCATCTAATCCAAAGCCAAAGTCAAAAAATAAAAAAGCCAACAAAAAATGTATTTCTCCTCCTTTACCTTTTGATTACAATATAACAGCTTCTAATTCTAACATTTGAATTATTTCATAACAGGTAAAGTGAAGGTTGAATTGAATCAAGACGTTGATGTGGAAAGTGATAGTGACAGTGAAGTTCAAAGGGAGTCTGACAGTGAGGTGGAGTCTTATGAAGTTGATTTTGAAGAGGATAATCATACATATGAAGATGTAGACCAACCTGAGGTTGAAGCTGAAGAACAGGTTGAAGTTGGAGGGGTTGAAGAACAGGTTGAAGCACTTGTTGAAGTTGAAGTTGAAGTTGAAGAAGGTGAATACCAGGCTGCAGTTGTAGATCAAGTAGAAGTTGAAGCTGAAGGACAGGGTGATGGTCAAGAAGGTGAAGAACTTGAACTTGAAGTTCAAGATCCAGTTGGACAAGATGACCAAGGACAGGCTGCAGTTCAAGATCCAGTGGAAGATGAGCATTTGATGGAAGTACCAGCATTTCAAGTTCTACAGGGAAAGAGAAGAAGGAAACCTTCAGAAAGAATCACAAAAATTCAAATAAGAAAGAAGTGGGAGGGGAAACAGGGGAGTAGTGGTGAAAATCCAATTGAATTGGAATAGAAATTGACAATTGGTTATTTTTTGGCATCGACTGGGAATCTTTTGTCTAGTAATATTTGTAACTTTTGGACTTGTGTCTAGTCATATGTGTTACTTTTGGAATCTTGTGTGTACCTTTTGGCAGTAATGCATGTGTAACTGTGTTAAATTCCAATGTTTTGTAAACAATGTTTCCTGGGAATCCAATGTTACATTCCCATGTTAGATTATATTACATCCCAATGTTTCAATGTATACCATTCCAATGTTTAATTATTTTTCATTCTAAAAATGTAACAAAAACATCAGAAGCAAAAACATGTAACAAAAGTTCCATCCATTCATTACATACATAAGCATACACAATAACAGGTGGACTACATCCATCCATTACCAATCAAGTTTCAATCATGAACTACATCATTCAACCCTAATACATCATGAACTACAATCAAATCAACATTTTCACATACAATACAAATAACAAAATCAGTGCCAATTTGTGAGTAAACAACTTCCACTTGACTTTGTCCAATTCCTGTCTATTAACCAAATTGATGTTGTTTTCTTGTTCGATCTTCATCCTACATATGCTGATTTCATTCTCCAAAGTGCAAATTTTCAAGATTAAATTACAGCTTTCTTCTGGTTTCCTCCAGTAAGGCTTTCTTCCATCTGTCCTCCCTTCATCCTCATCCAGCCATTGCCACAATTTATAGCTTGGACTTTTTCCATTCTTGAAGAAAAATTTAAAAATGTTAAATTAAAGGATGAAGAAGAAGAAAGGGTATTCAACAAGATGAAGAAGAAGAAAGTTGCAACGTATTCAACAATACTGATTACCATCGAGTTTTGACAAACTCTAAATTTTCTTCCAGGGTTGTCAGGGGTTCTTGAAGTCTTCACACGAGATGGTAAGTTGCAATCACATGGATGATCAGCTTGAAATTCATCTTGTCGTTTTGAAGAATAAGATGAGGAAGAAGAAGCCATCGTCGATCTAGGGTTCAAAATCAGGGGTGTAATTGAATGACTTCTTATACTGTAAACGAAGAGAATATATGCACAATGCCACGTAGGTGCAACGTATTCAAGTCACGTGCTAGATGGCTGCCACATAAGCAAAAACAGGTAATAGCCGGTCATATTACCTAAATATGAACATAAATAACAAGTTGGTTTCATTAATGAGAACAAAAAAAAGAACATTACCTATATGTGGACAATCGAAATAATTGGTTACCTTCATAAGTTATTTTCCCAAAAACATAATGTCATGTTGTGTTCGTGTTTAAAATTTAACATGAAATTAATAAGATATTAACATGTGTTTATCGTGTTTTTTATGATTAATTATGATACAAATAAACTAAATGATTATTTTATTATATATTTTTCGTGCTGGTCGAGTTGATCGTTTTTATCATGTTTTAACTAAGTCATTTTCCTATTAGTAAAGCAAAACACGACATCTCTTCGTGTTCGTGTTATTATATAAATAATTTGTCGTGTTACTTAAAAAAACTATTCAACTATCCAATTTGACATCGTTGTTTTAATGTTCCATGTAAATGTTCCAAGAGTATTAATAAATAAAGAGTAAATTACATAAATAGCCCTCTATGGTTTAAGTTGATAGGTTAGGTCCATGTTTCAACTAATTACACCATTGGTCCCTTTTAGCTACCATTCTCATGACCTACTGTTAAATCAGTGTAAACATACCAACTTACGTTTTCCTTTTGTCTATTTTTATTTGTTATTTATAGGTATAAAGGGACCCAAACTACTATGCACAACCACAATATTCACAGTATAAGTTTAAAATGAAAACCGATCCAAGTAATTAACATAAAAAAATACAAGAACCGGGAATTAAGAACCCAAGCAACCAAGAATTCTCAAGCAACCCTGATGATTTAGAGATAAAGATTAAAACCCCACACATCCATACAACCTCCTTCCTTAATCAATCGACCAAATTAGAAACCCACATCCACAGTCTAAACGAACATATTCATGTAACCGTTGAATAAAAAATTCACAAGAAATGCTCATTTGCTTATGTTGTTTAACGATCCAAGATATGGTTGCTATAAGGAAAATTTTGTATTAATGTTAAATGGAACCAAATTGCAACATGTCATGGTTGCAATCCAAAATCTTGTACTGCTTACAGGGGCAGAACACAAGCACTACAGCTAGGGGGGGGGGGCGGGATTAAGACTTCATAATTAAACTATATAAACAAGTTTTATTTAATTCAAAATTATGACATATCAAAAGTTTAAACAAGAAAACTAATATAAAGATTGTTAAATCCTTTATCAAAGTGGAACACGACGATCTTTTGCTTTTTTAAAATCTTCTACAATTGTTTCTAAACTAATCTTTTGAGCAAGTTCTCTTTCGAAGTGCAAAACCAATGAGTCATTCAGAAACTCGTCTTCCATTTTATTTCGTAACCTTGTTTTAATGAGGTTCATTGCTGAAAATGATTTCTCTGTTGTAGCAGTAGAAACCGGAAGAGTAAGTATGAGACTAACTACTCGATAAATAAGATGAAAGTTCGCTACTCTTCTAGTCTTTATCAATCATTGACACAATTCGGACATAGAAGTCGATATTTTATAATTTGCATGTTGAACATCAATCTCATAATGTTGAAGTTGTATCTTCAAAACTGTTTTCTCTTGTTCATTGAAATCTTCGGGATATCACCACTTTGAAAAGGCTCATCAACACTTTTAGGATCTAAAGTTGTTGAAAGTCGAAGCAACTCTGTTGAGCTATCGTTGAATCGATGATTTAGTTTCATATCATAACAATATATATATATATATATATATATATATATATATATATATATATATATATATATATATATATATATATATATACACCACAGTTCATCAAAATTATATGCAAATTCAACTAATAAGTATAATAAATATAGGTAATATATATATATATATATATATATATATATATATCCTAATTCATAAGTTATATACGAATCTATGCAAACAAGTCAATAGTTACTTTAGAATTAATAATAAACTAATAAATATAAAGTAATGTATATAAATACTTTTACATATATTATTTTAATATATACCATGTCATAAAGGTGAGTAGTCATAACTCATTATAAAGGCTCTGCAAAATTACAACTTACAATTTCTACTTTACTGTTGCCCAGAAACTTACTCCACTAGTGAGAGAAAATCAATTAATAGATATATAAAGACAAACAAATACAGAGAGCTATGTACCTTATAATGAGAAACGAGAATGAAGACCACCAGCGGAGTAGCTGAGAGCACCCAAACGCACAACAGTCGGCGGACGGTGGAGGCCAAGTTTCAACAGGCTCCGACGACAAGCGAAGAGGAGAAAGGGCGTACGATACCAACAGATTGAACAATCTGGCGACCGGAAAAGAGTACAAAACAACAATGGTCTTAATGGACAACGATGTTCTTCCGGTGAGTTGTGAGAAAAAGTATTCTGGTGGCCGGAATAAACTTTTGATTTAGGTTTAAACTTTTCAGTTTTCTTAACTCAAACTTAGGTTAAATTGTTGTAATCTTGATTAGATCGTGGGTTTTTATAGATTTTAATACATATTAAGTTTCCTTATTTTATAGAATACTAAATAAACAAAGTTGGTTTTGATTTCCTTTGTGATCTTTCGAAAATTTTGTTACCGGGCATTGCTATCTATATTATATATATTCACATGATTTGGAAACCGAGGGGGCAAAGATGGCATTCTATTATTTTTTTAACTTCCCCTGGCCCCTAAGACGGTCCGCCACTGACTGCCTACAACTTTTTACATGATTCATACTCGAATCTGTGGTTGTTGGGGTAGTTCTTTCAGGAGGCGCATGAATGAAAGAAAAAGGAGAGGGAGGGATGTTTACTAGTTATGTCGGTTCTAGATAAACCGATGAGAGAAAGAGAGAGGCAGATGTAAACGATAATTAATTCTAACTTCAAAGTGTATCAAAATTTGATTCGGTATGTATAATATACTTATTGATTTATTATTCAATACACACATGTGATTATCAATATATATATATATATATATATATATATATATATATATATATATATATATATCTTAAACTTTCAGTAATTATTCACGAAGTGAAATGATTATGCGTTTTTCAGTTTTTATGTATTCACATGTATCTAATTTTGTTATATATTTCAATCAACTTATGATTTTGACATATATAATTTCTCTAAAAATATTTCTACATGAATTACCGAATCCGAGTACTCCCCGAGTACTCTCGGGTACTCCCGAGTACTCGGTAGTTGGCCGAACAGATACCGGATAACGAGTTCTATAACCTTGGATAAAATGTCATATATAAAAATCTAACGGTTGACTAGTTAAATTTAATGATCAGAGGACCGTTAGTGTAATTTCTCCAAAGTACAATGAAAGTATCTATCAATTTTTCAAAAATTGGATCAAACTATAAAATGGACCAAACCAAAAGGACCATTTCTGTAATTTACTCATGAATAAATAAAAGAGTGAAAGTGATGTTAGGATTGCAATTAGTTAAGAAGTCGCTTCAAATGTTGCCAAACGGCTCCCTCCCAACGACCCTATGCAGTATGCAGCTCCTCAAGACACGAACCACCCAAATCTATCTATTCACATTCTTTATTCTCAATCCATATTTACATTAATAATATCACATGGATTTACGATTACATGTGAATCAAAAAAGAATTCTGTTTGCATAAAAGAACCTACTCTCTCCCTCTCTCCCTCTTGTTTATAATTCTACATGTGTATTCGGGCAATGTGACTTTAGAAGCTTTTAGCTTTTTAAGAAAAAATTCGAATTAAAGAAAAAAATTTGTTTGAAAGCATTAACTTAAAGTTTTTATTTTAAACAAAAAAACGCATAACCTAAAAATTATTTCAAGTAGGTTTCTTGAACTTTTAATTTTTTTTTTCTTTTTTTTTTAATGTAATTTTACATTTTTAAAATCTACGAACTGATTTGACGAACATTTTTACAAAAATAAAAGCTATAGCTTTCGGTTTATAGATAATTTTGATAAACACGTCTACAACCATTTTCTAATTAATGTTTACTTTTGCTTTAACAATCAAATCTATATTTGTCCATTTTTTGAACTAGAGTTAATCAATATTCTCTTTTGAAAAAAAATCAAAAAAAATATATCAGAGGTGATAATATTGATCAATTTACAGATACAGACTGGGAGTTTAACACTAGAAAATTTAGTTAAAATGAAACCACATCAAATAGATTTATAGCCATAATAAAATTGGTCACATAAAAGATCCAAACTGATTGATCCAAGTATTATCATTATTAAGTTATAACATTTTTATAACCATGTTTAATACTATAATTATTATTTATAAGACGCAAAAACAATTTGTGTACGGATTCAGAACCTTTTTTCACACTAATGTAATCATTTTTTCAACTATTTTCCCTAAGTATTACTTTAAAATACATTGTTTACATATGTACTTAAATCCAATATACTATAAAAAGTATCAATCCTTGCATATACATGTAATTAATTTTTATATAATTCATTTTATATGTTTCACCGTTGTTGCTTCCATTATAGGTACAAATATATCAATGAATTCACAATGATCACCAATACTTATGTAAGATATAAGTAAATACTTATAATCGAAATATTATACAATAAATACTTTTAAAATTATAATATATATATATATATATATATATATATATATATATATATATATATTATTGATTTGAGTAGCTTGAAATGTCAACATACTTAAGCAAACATTAGGTGTCCAAATGCAGCTACTATCTCACTATCACAGATTGGTGCCGTTTTATTGTCATCACCTATCCCTATATTTTAACTATTTCTCAATATTTAAATGATAAGTCTAAAAAACCAATCATATTTATATAGATACTTTCAACCTATATTTAGATATATGTTAATTAAAAATTATTTTAAAATATTTAAATTATTAGTTTGTTCTCTCAAAATCCTTCCTTAAAAACCTTTCATTCCATCATATTTTCACACACACACACATAATGAAAAACATCATTAACAATGGCAACACAAAGCTCATTCTTCTTCATCCTTACATCCAAAAACAAACAAATCCAAATCGCCTCTGGCTAATCGCTCTCGTCTCGGTGTTCACCATAGCCTCCCTGCTAACCCTAGTCTACACCCGTGAATCCTTCCACACAACCACCACCACCACCACGACCATCACCGCCACCGCCACCAACCACCACCACCACCACGAACCACTTCCCAAATCGGTGATCAAAGCCCTCATCCACTATGCTGCCACCGCCAACACCACAAATCACATGTCACAAACTGACATCAAACAAATCTCCGATGTCTTAAAACAATGCACCACCCCGTGTAACCTCCTTGTATTCGGGCTAACGCCAGAGACCCTCCTCTGGAACGCCTTGAACCACCACGGACGGACGGTGTTCATTGACGAAAACCGCTACTATGCCGCCTACGTGGAGGAGAAGTTCCCGGAGATTGAAGCTTATGATGTTCAATACACCACAAAAATAAGTGAACTTAAAGAACTTATCACTTCCGTTCGAGAACAAACACGTAACGAATGTCGACCGGTGCAAAATCTTTTATTTTCTGATTGTAAAATTGGATTAAATGATCTTCCTAATCAATTATATGAATTGGATTGGGATGTGATTTTAGTGGATGGTCCACGTGGATATTGGCCGGAGGGCCCAGGGAGTATATCAGCCATCTTCACCGCCGGTGTACTTGCCCGGAGCAAAAAAGGTGGCAACCATAAAACACATGTTTTTGTGCATGATTACAATAGAGAAGTTGAAAGAGTGTCTAGTGAAGAGTTTTTATGTAAAGAGAATTTGATCAAGTCTTCTAATGATTTGTTGGCTCATTTTGTGGTGGAGAGAGTGGTGGACCAAGGCGGCAGAAACCAGTTTTGTAACAGCCATCCGGCGGCATCCTAGGCGGCAGATGGCAGACCACCGCTCTGGCTCGAACATTTTATTTGACATAAAGAGGCGTAAAAATTTGATTAATCGTGTCATTTTCTCATAATGCATCAAAGGGCTCTCCATAAAATGCGGTTCTACCCTTTGTAATCAAGAAACATTTGTAGTACATAGATCTTTCATCATTTACAACAAATTTGATAATCAGTAAAACACGAAATAACAATCTTTTATCCGATACCAAAAAACATAATATAACATAAATACTAGTTCTCATTGTATTATCGCAGATTAGACAAGTTTTCTAGGGTTATTTTGAACGTCCCACATTGTTTCATATTTTTTAGTGGGGACAAAGAATACAACTTTTGTCCTATTGACATGAGTCGCAGTTCTAGTTTAAATGTTTAGTGCACACCAAACACAGTACAAGTACAAAAACACAGTACAAGACTATCACGTTCTGTCTAGACTGTCTAGTCTAGGCAGTGTCCTTGACATAAAGTGGCCTCGAAACACCAAGTTCTCGAAGCCGATCAACCATACCATAAAGAAACTCAAAGCTAAGAATCGATTGAGCATTAAAATCGGCTCTCACATGCGGATGAACCCTAAACCATTCTCCTAACATCTTATGAACATGAGCCCTAATCATCCTCCATGGCACCGGGTATTTCTCACATAACTTCAAATACTCAACAACCAAATCCGCTTGATCTAACTTCGCGTCACGAATCCCATCTCCACCGTCGGATACCCAATCAAAGGTCCTAAACCCTGCAAACAACGCAGGGTTTTCTAGTAGGGTTTCAGCTGAAAGCACCCCATCAACACCCGTCTCTTCCAAACAACGTGTCACATCGTCCATGTGGCGGATATTTCCGTTTGCGAGAACAGGTATTCGAAGCGCGTTTTTAACCGCCCGAATCGCGTCCCAATTTGCGCGGATTTTTTTCCCGTCTTTTTCGTCACGGGTGCGTCCGTGTACTGCTAAAAGGGCACATCCGGCATTTTCCAACATTTTTGCGTAGTTTAAAGTGTCTTGTAAGTTTGGGAAGAGTCGGATTTTGCAAGATACGGGGACATTTAGGTTAAGAGCTAATTTTTCAACTAAGGATTTCACGAGAGGGAGTTTTTCCATTAGGAATGCTCCGTAGTTTCCTCGTTTGGCAATACGTTGTGGGCACCTGAATTTCGAAGAAATGTGTGTATCAAGGAAACATACTGAAAAGGAGTCTCGGTCTAATACAGTACAAATGCAGTACAACATGTTCAGTTTCATGGATATGTATTAGCTTTTGTGCAGGAGTTTTAATAAATAAGTGAGTTTGCTAGAATATTATTCAGATCTAATAGACCTAGTGCCACAAATTAACATCTTATCTTTACAAAAAAAAAAATCTAATGTGTGGTTGTAAACCTTTTTGCAGAATCCAGATGCATAAACATATGCTAATAAAGCAGAATAAGAAATCAAGCATAAGAGTTATTACTTATTACTTGTTTACTATAATACTACAACCATTTCTGGATCATCTTCTTGATTGATATTATTTGATGTCTTATTAGTATTGTTGCATTTGATGTTACATGGTAAATTAGTCAAACACGTACCCTAAATTGCTGTGATTAAGTTATGAAAGTTCAGATTTGATGAAATATTTAAAGAGAATTCGAAAAGCTTACCCCAAATTAATGTCAACGTAATCACAATAAGGCTCCACCTTTCGTGCTGCTTCCAGTAAAGTGTCTGGATCATTCGCACAAAATTGAACAAACAATGGCCGATCTTCCTGCGTATTTCAGCGAACAGGAACCATAATTAGTATATTACATAACAAGCATCTTAATTTCTTAGAATTACAGTTGCAATCAGATGTTAATAAAGAAGAAGGTTAAATATGAGTGTATGTGCAGATTGTTCTTACCTTGCAGGTAGTGAATTCCTGAGATCGATACTTCTCGTTCTCACTGAAGATACGAGAGTGAAGCATAGGAGTGTAAGCAGCTTCAGCGCCGTATTTCCGACATAATAATCGGAAAGGAAGCTCCGAGTTATCGACCATCGGTGCTACAATTAGCTTGGGTTCACCGAGCTTCTTCCAATGTGCCCACGCTCTCTCGATTCTGGCATCTGTTGTCATGTAGCCATTCGGATTATCCAACAATGAAGATTCGTGATTCGCTACTGACTCTGGAGAAAAGGGGTTTGTTGTTTCGGAGCAGATGTGGTCGTCAGGGTTGTCGGCTGGGGATTCTGAGGTGTGTTGGCATGGGTCTAGGGTTTGAGTGACGGAACTAAACGCCATGACTGGATTGTTGATTGGTAAGCTAATGAAGACGATGGCTTTTTCCGGGGAAAGGTTCGGATATCATGAGAAGGCGGCGATGGGAAAAGCAACGCCGTCCAGGATACAGTTAGCCTGGTAGGTCTCTTTGGTGTATTTCATATTCACCTGTCAAATCGGGTGGACCGGGTTCGGTTAGATCATATTATTCAAACTTTATGTTCTCTTACAAATACACCTAAGTTTTTTTGTTTTTGTTTTTTTTTAATGATATTATTAAACTAACTATTTTATTTATTTATTTATAAATTGTAACAAAAAACTATTATTTTCATAATTTAAAAACTAACCAATGTGTTCTGAATATGAAATTCCTGAGCCATTAAAAACGGATCAAACCCATTTATGTGGCCCATTCTATATAAATAAGGGCGACAATTGATAGCACGACACGATAAAAATACACGACACGACACGGAATTTGGATGAAATAGAAATTTAAATACGTGTCAGGTGTCAAGTATAAAAAACACGATGTTGAAACGTCCCAAAAATAATGACATAAAATTTTCGTTTTTAAATAAATAAATTGTTAACACATATCATTTTCATAAAACCATGGTAATCTAGATTTAGCAAAACACCATCCATCACAGAATGCGGAAACATATGGTGTATGCCCTGCAACCATCCCGAGCACTTTCATTTGAAAACCGAAGTACCTGAAACATAAAATGAAAACCATAAGCACAAAGCTTAGTGAGTTCCCCAAAATATCACATACCATACATATAATATAACGGGCCCCGCCCATACTCGGATAATAGTGAGATATGGGCCCCACCCACATCGAATAACGGGCCCCGCCCAATGAGATACAGGCCCCACCCACACTCGAATAGTAATGAGATACGGGCCCCGCCCACTCTCGAATAATGATGAGATACGAGCCCCGCCCACACTCGAATAATGATGAGATACAGGCCCTACCCACACTTGAATAATGATGAGATATGAGCCCTACCCACACTCACATAACGGTCCCCACCCAATAAACATAAATACACGCACATACAAGTATCACATAGACAATAAGTATAATAAACATAACCAAACGAGGGTCGGCCTTGGTGCCTTAGACCTGCTAAACCCAGTGAGGAAACTCACCTCGCACTGCTAAATCCCACGGATAAATCTCTGGCTGCTGGCTGACCGATTCCCGAACTATCAAGAATCAAAACAACACCCAATCAACATTAGGGTCCCAATCTATATTCATAAATCCATTACTAGGGTAAATGACCAATTTACCCCTCACCTAGTTTGGACCAAGGCTTAGGCCCAAACCATAAAATCCACAATGCCCAAATACCAGAACCACTCATGGCCTAATCCATGGCTCAATTTTCCAAATTGGGCCCAAACCCAATACATGGGCCTTACCTTAAGGCCCAACCAATTTTCCTAGTCCAAAATACTTGTACTCAGATGACCCAAGGAGAACCCAAACACCCAAGCCCAAAAAGGAAAGCCCAACATGAAGCCCAAAAGCCAAAATCCTCCTGACTGAGTACGCGGGGCGTACTCAGCTATACGCTAAGCTTACATGCAATTTGGATTGTATGTTGCGCGTATAGACTTGTACGCCCAACGTACTCCTCCATTAAGCCGCAAATTCCATTAAGCACTTAATGTTCAAGATCAGGAGTCCAAACCACAGATCTACTTCTTAAATAACGTCTAGACCCATAAAGTCATTGAATTGACCACTTTGCATGCCTCAAAAGGACCCAACATCGACTTAAAGCATTAAACTTTCACCAAATGGACACCATCTCACACATGGGGGATTCCAAACCCTAAAGAGGCAACTTTATGCATTTAGAACCTCAGAAACACCGATAGTGGCAACTCATAGCTCTTGGAGTGGTACCAAACCACTAGATCTCATTCTTGGGACCAAAATAAACCAAAAACTCATACCACATAGATCTAAGCTAACAATGAACAAGGTCAAAGCTTTTTACCTTAAACAAGCTGGAAATGAAGCACCTAATCCAGATCTACAAGCTCTTCCTTTGATCCACAACCTTGCACTAAACTCCATCTTCGTGGAAATGACCCAAAAACACCAAAATACACACTATGAGCTCAAAATCACAACCATGTAGGATTAGAAACGATTTCTAGGGTTTTGGGGACTTGGAGGCTGATAAAGGATCCAACCAAACAGACTTAATGAGATTATATAGGGTTCACATCCAAAAATTAGGGTTTTCCTTTATCCCTCGTACGCCCCGTACTCCTCGTACGCCCAACGTACGAGGTCCCGCAACCCTGATCTGACCCTCGCAGTACGCTAAGCGTATACAATATTACGCCCATCGTAACACCCCTTGCATCAGTACATTGCGCGTACTCCCTAGGTACGCCCCACGTACTAGGGTTTCCTCTTAAACCCTTAATCACTCTAAAGGCCATAACTTCTTCGTTATAAACCCGATTACGACGATCCTTATATCCATGAAAAGGTAAGGAAAAGCTCTACACTCTAATCAACTTGTACATGCCTTACCTTTTTCTGAACAAACCTCCAATTTCCAATAAAGCATGAGCTGACAAATTACCAAAGTACCCTCTTGACTCCAATCTCAAACCGAATACCCGAATCATCCAAAATACATTATCCAACCCCAGATGAGTCCAAATCTCAATTATTCAAGGGTCCAAATTTTGATCATACCAAATCCTTGATCACCACTCCGAAATGGGAAACGATTTGAAATAGGGAGTTACAACTCCTCCCCACTTAAATTAGATTTCGTCCTCGAAATCATTCCTTACCATTCCCAACATGCCAAGCAACCCGAGCAACACGAACACAACCCCGAGCATACCCCAACCTTCCCCAAGACAACTGAAACCATCCCTCGTAAGGCTCTCCTACCCGCAAATGAACGAATCCATTTACCATCCGATAAAATCCCCCGTGAATTAACTACAACTACTCAAACTGAAACCTGAAGACTCGTGCTGGCCTGACTCCCTGACAGACCGCCCATACTAGACCATTGCTGAATCCATCCTACTAATTTCCCAACTGACTACTCAACTTCTGATATTTGAAATTTCCATTAGAAACATAATCACAAACCAATTATCCCTGTAGAACACTTACACTTGACAGAGTCTTAGATAATCTTTCGAGTAGAGACTCATCCCTGCAACGGTTAGACTCAGACGAGAGCTGCGCAACAGGATCAAATCATCTGCTATGAGATTATCCGATACCAACTGTAAGTGGCCTAACATCTCCTATGAATAACAAGCTACTCCACACATAAATTCTAAATCAATAATACTGCCTTGACTTATCTTGATGCCCTTCCCAAATAGAACCAATCCAAGACACAATCACAAGAACTGATCTACTAACAAAACTGAATCCATTCATTACCCTTGAACATTTCGATCGATGACCTCGGCATATAGATACCCCGATTCTTATCCCATGGAAACAAAATCCTGCACAAAACACTCGTGATACTAGACTCGACATCTTACCCAAAACCAACATGATACTCAACCCATAACCCGAGACCCACATATCTGCATTTGCATTTCACCCAAGACCTTCTGATAACGACAAACCCTTTGTAGACCGCGATATGAAGGTTCCCAACCATCGCTGAGACTACCAGTCTCATACCTGGTCCAAACACCAGGTTCCCAAGAGTCCAATAACAAGGCTACCCAGCCGATAAACCCCTCTGTGTCACATACTGACCACCCAATTAATCTTGTCACTCAAGATCCAATACCTTGACCCAACGATCGCTACCAGGTCCCACCTGTATTGCTATAATCGTACAGGCCTTGCCCGCGGGTCCCACCCGAGTATACCACGGAGCGGCCTCGCCCACGGGTCCTACCCATCAAGAGCTACACTAGCCCGACTCCGCCTCAGACCCCAATGGTCCTTAACCCATAACAAAAAGAAATACTCCTTGACAATCCTGACCAACGTGCCTACGACACGAACAGATTCCCCCCCAATACGCTCATGACCACCTCCAACGGTAGTCTACCTTGAACTGGTGAATGCTACGATCCCATCGCAGTCTTAAAACACTCCTAACCAACCATGGTTACCACACCCTAACCATCATAACCACGCGCCTCCTGAACCAAAACCTGCATCTGATCAGGTGTTTGGGTCACACTTCGAATTCTGAAGCCCTCAACCTGAACTCGACCACAACCCTGCTAGGCATAACAAGGAAGGCGCCGACCAACGGTTTCGAAGTTTCCTGAACTCCCAATTACACCACCACAATATAAACGACCACTTGAGCCGTCTCCCCTCCCGATCAAAATGTGAAACTTTCCCCAATTCACACCCTTCCTGTCAGACAAAAATACGATACCATTGCACGATTTTCTAACCCCTATATATAAATGAGATTCATAGTTCTTATTTTTTAAAATTTTCCAACTTAAGCTTTGAAGATTTTTTATTTTGTTTTTTCTGAAGAAAAAATGTATTTTATGAACCATCTTAGTTTCATATGTTTATTTACTTAGATTTTATATCACAATGTGTAAAGTACAGTCCACTATACGAATAACATATTCAGAATATGAAAAACAAGTCTGTAATATATTTTCGGAATATGAAAAACAGGTGTTGAATGTAGATCCAAAATACTAAGAACATATTTTATAATAATTATTTTTTAGAACTATATCATTGTTTTTTTAAGAGAACTTCCTTAATGATGGTTTCGGATCCACTTTCGCACACCGACTAATCAGCTTCTGCAAACATGACGTTATGTCTCATGTCTTGGAGTCACTAAAGACAAACCTCTATGGCCACAGAGGCGGAGTGGTACCAGGATTTAATCATGGGTCAATAGTTTGTCCTCCGTTAAAGAGTGGTACCAGGATTTGAACATGAGTCAATAGTTTGTCCTTCGTATCTTTCACATGCCTTATCAAGTCATTGCATATGAACCATATCTTTGTTTTTAAAGAACTATATGTAAGCAATACACGTTGAGGTTACACAAATGAGGTCTTGTTAATAGGAATGCATTATAAATGATTTCATGATTTGCACTGTTGAAAGAGCAATTGTTAGAAATGCAAATTTATTACAACCTTTAGAAGCTAATAACCATAGAAG